GAAAATCGGTTGAGGGATGTTTTCTTTATTTTTGATGTTGAAAACACTGCGCACCTTAAAACCTTCTTCCTTAGAGAATTTTCTTTCTCTGGTTAGTTCACGCTGACAACTTCTATTTCTAGACTACTTTTAAGTTGATAAGTGTAATGAGATTTCTTATACATATCAAATTCATTGGTAATTCTACGAAAAATGTTTTCGTTTTGAGCCTGAATTTTCACTTCGTGTTTATTACTCTTTTTAATAGGAACTACATGAAAATTATTTTTATACCCGAGCGCACTTGTGCACAAGGGTATATTAATTTTGTTCACATACCGGTTGTTTGTAACAGCCAAAACGAATCGAGATAGATATAGACAAATGTATACATAAATGATCAGGATGAAAAAAGAAATCGATTAAGACATGTCTGTCTGACCGTCCGTCTGTCCGTCTGTCCGTCTGTCCGTGTACACGATAACTCGAGCAAAAATTGAGATATCTCAACGAAATTTGGTATGTAGGTTTCCCTTAATCCAAGGTAGGTTGGTATTGAAAATGGGCGAAATCGGACTTTAACCACGCCCACTTCCCATATAACGGATATTTCCAGAAATACGAAAACTGCGATATTTTAGTAACTACTGAAGATAATTCACTCAAAATTGATATTTACAATAATTTTTAGACGAAAAATAAGAATATTATAAACTTTTGGAAAATGGGCGTAGCCACGCCCACTCATGGTTACATGTGTATATCTTGGTAACCGCTGCACCAATTTCTTCCAAACTTGGCACAGTTGTTGGTCTTCGCATAACATACCAAATGGCCGAAAAGTTTTAAAATCGCTCAATAACCACGCCTATTTCCCATATAACGGTAATTTTCAGAAATACGAAAACTGCAATATTTTAGTAACTACTTGAGATTATTCACTCAAAATTGATATTTATAATAAGTTTTAGACGAAAAATAAGAATATTATAAATTTTTGGAAAATGGGCGTAGCCACGCCCACTTATGGTTACATGTGTATATCTTGGTAACCGCTGCACCAATTTCTTCCAAACTTGGCACAGTTGTTGGCCTTGGCACAGCATAAAAAACCGCCGAAACTTTTTAAAATCGGACAATAACCACGCCCACATCCCATATAACGGTAATTTAGAGAAATACAAAATCTTCGATAAATCATTAAATATTGAAGCTCATTTATTCAAAATTGATGCTTGCAACAATTCTTTGCCAAGAAATACGTTTATGGTAAAATTTTGGAAATGGGAGTGGCACCGCCCACTTATGATCACATATAAGTATACCGGTAACCGGACTAAAATAACGGCCGATTCTCATATAACGGTAAATTTAAGAAATGCTTGAGACTTCAATATTTCGAAATTGACGAAAGACTACTTTACTTCTCAAGTAGCACTTTTTGGGAAGGGTAATTCTCCATAGTACTTCAAGGCTGATATTATTACACTGTAAGGAAAATTTCAAGTTTTATATTACAAAAAAAAAAAACACGCCGAAATACGCAAACTTAATTTTGGGTGCTAGGTTACGGATCTATACACCGTCTTTCTAGACCAGATCATTTTCTCAAGATATTTTCATTTTAACAGGGAAAAAAATTAAAAATAATTTTTTTTTGTAAATTCCTTTGATTTGTGTAAAGCTTGTTCCCTACTAGTTTTAGGAGAGTATCTACCAAAGGGGCACCGAAATTGCGCATATGGAAACTGTGCATTTAGACATTATTTTGGTTTCAACCGAAACTGTGCATGTATGCTTTATTTCGGTTTCAACCGAAACTGTGCATGTATGCTTTATTTCGGTTTTTACCATATGCATTATTTCGGTTTTAAACCGAAACTGTGCATGTATGCATTACTTCGTTTTTTTTTCATATGCATTATTTCGCTTTTAAAACGAAAGTATGCATATGCATAATTTCGGTATTTTCTCATATGCATTATTTCGGTTTTCAACCGAAACTGTGCATGTATGCATTACTTCCGGTTTTTCATGTGCATTATTCCGGTTTTCAACCGAAACTATGCATGCATGCATTATCTCGGTTTTTGTTATATGCATTATTTCGGTTTTCAACCGAAACTGTGCATGTATGCATACCTTCGTCTTTCACATATGCATTATTTCGGTTTTCATCCGAAACTGTGCATGTATGCTTTATTTCGGTTTTAGCCATATGCATTATTTCGCTTTTGAACTGAAATTGTGCATGCATGCATTATTTCGGTTTTTGTTATATGCATTATTTCGGTTTACTAACGAAAGTGTGCATATGGATAATTTCGTTTTTTCTAATATGAATTATTTACTTCTACTTAGTAAGGGTTTTAATCCCTAAGCGCGACTGAAAGCCGCCTACGCAGAGAAAAGTTCTGCGCAAAAATACGTCCGCCCTTCTTTTCCGGCAATACAGAAAGGAGAATTCTACTTAGTAAGGGTTATAATCCCTAAGCGCGGCCGAAGGCCGCCTACGCAGAAAGAAGTTCTGCGCAAAAGTACTTCCGGCCCCCTTTTCCGGCAACACAGAAATGAGAATTCTACTTAGTAAGGGTTATAATCCTTAAGTGCGGCCGAAGGCCGCCCACGCAGAATGAAGTTCTGCCCAAAAATACTTCCGGTCCCATTTTGCGGCAACACAGAAAGGAGAATT